TGTGTGTGCACATGTGTGAGAACCAAAGAGAGAATAAAAGAGGAAAGTGAGGAGGTGGAAAGGGAAGTGGATAAACAGGGATGATGGCATGAGGTAGAATTCTTTAACAGAGGTCATCATTAAATATAAATATGTCTAATGGGGAGTTACTTAATGGGTAGAGAAGTTGCAAAATAAGGAATTTCACAATATGACTGTATTTGATACTGCAGAACTGTGCATTCAAAGTGATTAATATAAAAATTTGATGTATTGCATATACTTTACCACAATTAAAAAAATTAAATGACCTTTCTATTTTTGTTTTATTTCTGTTGTGCTGATCGAACCCAAGGTTTCTTGTGACATGTCTATTTTAACTGTAGTGTTAGTTATGGTTCAGAAGGCTATGTGTATTTCCTATGTCCCTGACATGAGCCAGGTTTATCCCCCTTGCCTGGTAGACAGTGAATTTTAATATATCTTCCCAGACAGGAAGAAGGAAGTCATGAAACTCAAATGCACAGGGCCTCCACTGCCTAAGCCAACCCCTTCTGCACATCTATCCAAATGAGCATTGGGACTGTCTGTCCCTGGGGGCTTAGTGGGGCTGGAGGGAGTGGGTGTGCTGGCATGAGCATCCTGGAAGAAACTTTTCCCCTCTGAGTGTTAGGTGTAATTAGACACATCAAATTATTTGTAGTCTGCCAATGATCACAGAGGGTTAGCAAGACCTAGGGACAGAGAGCAGCACCTGAGAGTGTGGGGAGCAGCTCTAAGTCCAGGGAACCATCTTCTGAAGATTCTCCATGGTCCTCTGTGTAAAAGGTTGGGCAGGCTTGCCACCATGGAGCCAAACTGAAGGACTAGCCTGTGGCTCAGTGGAGGGGCTATTCTAGCCCAGTCTCTTACCATGTTCTGACCTCCCAGCTCTCTGCAACCATGAAGCCAGAGATGCTAATCTGAAAGGTGGAAAATGCAATGGGAAGTCAGCATGCCCTTTTAAAGCCGGTTTATTGCAATGCTAATTGGGCCCTGTGCTAATAAAATAAATAATTTTTAAAAAGCAATTTTTTCTTCTATGTCTTCTACTTTTGTATCTTCAGGTGAATTTAAATTTTTACTTACATAACATATTTTATACTTGTGCTATAGTCTTAGGCTCCAGAATCACACATATGCACACACATGCAACATAAATATGCTGTAGATATCACCTGACATGGACCCAGAATCTTTTCACTGTGGTGTTGGGCTGCGTAGGTCTCAGGGCTCTCATTGCTCATCAGTGCTGGGTTCCAGGAACCTGCCATGGATGAACTCCATTGTCAGCTGCCAAGCCTTTTTCCTGTGGTAAATTTGGTCAGCATTGGGTGTGGGCCATGAGCAGATGGACGTGGGATCAGATGATGTAAGGGTTAGGTGTTCTTCACTGTGGGATCCCAGCTCACACTTAGTAGCTGTATTCCTCCACCAGGCACCACAGGCTCCAGGTGCCCTCTCCTGCCAGCATCCTCTCTGATAGCTGCAGCAACGCCCAGTGAGTTGAGGAGGCAGATAATGGTCTCAACGATGTCCACATTCCAGTCCTTGGAATCCTCAAGTGAGATGGGCACCTAGTGAGAGCAAGTCCAAATGGTTCCTGTGTCCGGTACCAATTCCACCTCAGCCCATGCCAATGATGTCAATATGTTGAAAACCAAGGCCCAAAACAAAGTTCCTTTCTCAGATAAATAATCAAAGGGATGGAAGCACAACTCATACTATTTCTTTCCTTCTCACTCAGTGCATTTTCCAAATTGTTTTTTCTGGGACTTAACAGTCCTAACAAAAATAAACCCAACTTTACCGGTTTTCTTATGGATGCACTGTGCCCTTGACTTCATACACAACTGGCTGTAGTGAGTCTGAGGTCCTTTCCCAGCATCTGTTGGATGGGTATCCTCAGGCAAACAAGTTCACTATCAGTGTCTGGGCAGTCCCTTCAGTGAAAGTTGCAACTTCCTGTTCCCACCCTGCTCAGATACTTCATCCTCTTCCCATAACACCTACCACTTTCTTCTGCCCCTACACCATGGCTCAGTCGTGGGAGGCTTCCCTGCCTTGCGTTCAGAGAGTCTTCTGCAGGGACTTCGCAGATACATGCACATATACACCAATGTCCCCCTGATCTGTATCAGGGCCATTCCTGATGGGTTTCAGCTTCCCGTTTGCTGTGTTGCATTCTTGGAAGGACAGAGGCTCCATTAAGCTAGTGGAATGGAAAGCAAAGAGGTGGCACTGCGACATGGCAGAGGAATGGGGGGCACTCTCCCTGCCTCTCTTGACACGTCTCCAGACAGTAGTGCCTGATACTTGCTGATGGGACCTAGCTCATGACCATTTTTATCCATGTTGGAGCACAAGGAAAATGAGTTTAAAGTCTTGGCCAGTCATGGGAGTCAGACTGGCAAATGGGAAGTGAGATCCACGTAGGGGTTGGTTCTGTAGGAACCTCAAGGACACCATCTATGAGACTCCAGACTTCAAAAGGTATAGACTATATAGCCCCAGTTAGCTCACAGGATGTGAGATCCTGTCCAAAATCTCCCATTTTCTAGTTTCAAGGTCTTTACCAAGTAACTCAATACTCAATAACTCTCCCAAATCTTAGAGAAGCACCATCCCTGCCTACCTCAGAAGAGGAAGCTGGGGTTCAGGAAGGGGTAGGAACAGATATGCTGAGTAGCTTAGGTGCCCTTCATGTAGGGCTGGGGTTCCGATTCTGGGATATGGCTCTATCTACATTCTTGATTTGCATGTTACTGATGGAATTGGGCAGTGGATACAGAAGACAGTGCAGGAAAAAAGTCTTAGTCTGCCACCTCATCCCATTGTTTAATAGGAGACCTTATAATTCATCTGTAAACCTAAAAATGTACAGCCGATTTTGAAAGAGATGTA